TGGCTGGCTGGGGAATTCTGGGAGTTGAAGTCCACCCACCTTAAAGTTGCCAAGGTTGAGAAACATTGCTCTAGAGGCAATGCAGATGAATACTGCAAGCTCTCCAATTTCTGTAGTCAGGGTGGTAACCAAATATATTGAGGATTTGAGAGACCGTACCTATGGGAAGACCTCCAGTCCACTTTCCCAAACTCAACTCATTCCCCTTAATCTCAGGCTACAGCACCACATCTGGAACAGGTTCTACCACCCTGAAAGAAATTGTACCATTTAGGCACTGCATGCTTCTGAGTCGCAACTGGTCAGAACTTGTCCAGTCCCAGTCTTTAATTTCTAGAGATGTCAACATGATAGTTACATGTTCCCCCAACCACCAGATGTGGATGAAAGTCAGCGATGATGGGAATATAATATTTGTCAAGAAAAATCTGGAACTTATAACTGCATAGTTGATAGCTATTATATCAGTAACAAAATGGGTTTTATTTTATTTTTAAAGGCTGAAAAACTTTCCTGGGCTTAGGAATCAGGCAGTAAGCTGGAACCCATGTGGTTATGAATTTTGGGTTATTGGTGCTTTATCTTGGCTGTTCTTACAGTATTTCTTGTGCTGTTTTGATGTCATTTTAGTTGTGTTTTAATTTGTTGTTAGCCACCTACACTCGCTACAGTAAGATGGGTAGCCATTCAAATTGAATTAAATAGATAAATAAATAAACCAAGCTTTTGATGTCTTCTGAATTTGTTTTAATTATATAATTTAAATAATCCCTTGGGGTTGAAACAATGTCTTGATCTCACTTTTTTTTAATTGTTGTTTATTTTTTCCCCTTAACTCACAGGTTAAAGAAAAGCTCTCCAATTCATGGTGTATTGAGGGTTTGTTATGTTCTAAATCTGAAAGGCAAACTGAAAATAGATTTTGGAATTTGGTTAATGGTTTCCAATAGATTCTGCTTAGCTTACATATGCAATATTTGTGAACAATGTAGAGTAGACAAGATAATTCTATAATTCTGCTTACCTGGTAAATGGTTCAGGGTAACCCAGTAATGCTCATCTGGACTGTATGTGTCTCTTGACCATTCGAGCAAATCTTTTGCGCGTGCATCAGTCAGTGTAAACTCTACAAATTTTCTTGTGAGTACATAGTAGGCAGTCCCAAAATATATAGTCAAATTATGGGGTGGTTCACTTTTCACTTTATTAGTTGGATAGACGTATGATTTTCCTGAATGTACCAATTCTTGGTAACTGAAAATTGTTCTGCGTCTCATATGAGGTGGTTGAACAATTCCTGGAGTTATATTTTTACCATTCCATTTGCTTTTAATATACTGTATAAGTTCCTTGTTAGTTTTGATGGGATAATCTTGGCCACATAGATTAATAACATAATTCCACTGTTTTTTTAAATGGATCAAATCCTTCATGCAATTGATATCTGCTTGCAGTCTAGAAAATCCTGCATAGACAACTTTTTCTATCTTCGAAGCAATAAAAATGTTTTCAAAGCAGTTGACCAAGGTTTGCACAGCTTGCTTAAAATCCTCTGATGATTTCTCATCAATATGTATACAGTAAACATTCTGAGGCACGTAAATGGCTCTGAGTAGTTTTATAAACATGTCCAGTTCCTTGTGAATGGTGATGATGTAGGCCAAGGAAAAGTTCCTTTCTTCTTCTGACAGTGGTCTTGTAATGAAGTGGAGTTTCTTCTGCAATGTGGAACAGTTGCACGGTGTTTGTACGCAAGTGGACATTTCTTTTCCCCCTAGAGCCTTCTGGCATAACTGGCCGATTTGAGAAGCAACTTCTTTCCCATCAAAGAAGGCTGAGCAAAGTTCATCTGGATAAAAGCCACACTCTTTGGGGATGAGTTTTTCCTCTCTGTCATTCTTGAAGATTGTATTCCGTAGATAGAAAACACCAAAGATGAAGATGCAAACCACAATACACACTAAAAACCCTGATTTTGCTGCCTCAAGTAGGTTCATCTTTGGCATTCCAGATGTTTCCTGGAACTCCAAATGTTCTCTGGAGTTTTCGTCTGGCCACAGATCAGTGAAACGGTTCTACCTAGGCAAGGTTAGAAAAAATAGCATTTAAATTCTTTAATTTAAATGAAATTCAGTCTGATGCTTCATCCATTTCACTTGAAAGAAAAAAAAATACTTCAGTGCTGCTAAAGTCTTATTTTACAAATGCAGGTGTTCTAGAAGGCTGGCTTAACTCTGCTTTAAGAATTGATTTTTTTTTTTTTTTTTACCTTTTGTGGTTTTGATTATGGAACATTTCTTTCTCTCTGTTTCACCAACATGTATAGAGATAAACTGTTCTTTTCATGTAGCTAGCTGATAATCTTTTGGATTAGATGGAAATCTTGTTATTGATTTCAAAAATACATTTTAAGCATAACCAGTACAGTCTGTTTTTTACTGATGATTTTTGGGGGGGGGGGATGGCAGAAATGATCAAAGTTCTTATCACCATCACTTTAATGAAATCTAAAACATGAGCTATTTTGTTTTTCCTTGAATTGCCTGAATTAGTATTATGTTTTCAAACGCATGGTATAAAAATGAAAGGAAGTACTCTTGAACACAGTTCATATTTATTCTGCTTGGAAGAAACTGTGACCTTAGCAACACTGCATTGCCTTGCATTGCTATTTAAGGAGGCTTTCAGGCCAGTTTTAGAGAAAAAATACTGTTGCATATTTTTACCTTTCTGAATATGTTTTTCCACAAGCGTGGCTTTGTTGAAATGTTGGAAGCACCTCAGTACAGCAATATATTTCTTTAGAGCTCAGAAATAAAGTCTTCATCCTTGAATTCCTGGATGCTAAGTGTATGCAACCCTAGAAAAAAGATTCAGTAAAAGGGACAGATTGTTGAAATACTGTGATGCAAACCTACAATTATCTGGTATTGATTTTTCCTGCTTCAACAAACACTGAACCACTGTGTTCAACAGAGATTACACTCACATAGTCTATATCATTATGTGTATGTCCTCATCATCTTAACTTGAATGATTTTTTAATCTTATGACATGACATACAATACCAAAAACTGTACCTCTCTAATAATTTCGTGTGTGCATGGATGTGTCTGCATACACACCCATGCACCCGTATATCTCAAAGCTTTATTTTGGTTTAAATCACTTCCGTTTTTCAACCTGCATGTTAAGGATAACATGCTCCCATTTAAAATGCACAAATCTTGAAAATAATACAGTAATATACAGCACGTCATTCATTGTCCTTACTGCTAAGTCCTGGGCTTCAAGACAGAAGATTCTTCTTTTCCGAAGTTTGCTGTGCTGATGCTGGGTCTTCTGTGGAGGGCTTAGATGAAGGATGCATTCATTTTGCTGTTTAGTTTTATCTTTTTTTCAGCCACAGTGTTCTTCGGTGGGGCTGCTTCTGCAGGTCTAAGAAAAACATCAGGAAAATCAGTCCCAATAGACTAGTGTTTGCCTAGAGGCTCATCGGAGTTAGGTTTACTATGTAAACATCTGCATAGAATCCAGCATCTTCTTAATAGGACAAGCTGTATGCATCCATTCGATCAGCAAACGTTCAGCTCTCGCACCAGTGATGTGAAGAAAAGGGGGAGGAAGGAGTGTTTGGAAGATGAATGCAAGCGTTTCTGAGCAAAAGAAACTGCAGCCTGCTGCAAAATGACTAACACAGCCAAGACTAGATTAATATAATGGACATTACGTACACTGTAATGAGGGTGAGGAGCTGGGAAGGGGGTGGGTGGGAAGTATAGTTGTGTGTTACTGGCTCCCGTGCAGGAGTCAGAAATGGCTGTGTGACAGTGAATAATTAAAAAATGAGCTGGCAAAATCACTGTAGGAGGTCTGTGGTTGATGTTGTTGCCGGTTGCTAGGAATTGGATTGGCAGATAGAACATGAAAAGGCAACAAATGCTGTGCTCCAAACCAATTTAAAAATCTTGATTTTGAAAGAGTACAGGGGTACAGTTTGAATGGTTAAGATCTGTCACGTCCACTACGTGAATGTAGGCTACCTGAAACCTCTTGTGTTTGTACTCAGCATTTTCATCATTGAAAAAACCTGTGCAACTCAGAAGTGTGAATTCATGGCTTATCTGGTTTTCAGCATGCCTTAGTAAACCTTCTGTGTGAAGAGCAACATTTCATAAATTTGATCGCTTAAAGGGAATAGTTTTTTTTTTCCCCTGCACAGAATAAGCTAAAAAATGGAAAATAAAGAAGGAAGATTAGAGAGACAATAATGAATGCATTTAAGAACACATTGTGGCAGGGCACAAATTACACCCATGCAATTCTGCCAATAACTGATATTGGACACTGTCCACCATTTCAAAGATAGAAACGAGAACACCTTTATTAGTATTCCACTAGTAATAGCACCAAAAGCAAATTGCAGAAGGTCTTTCCTAGTTCTTAAGGCAATGTTAATGTATTCTGTTATGCATCTGTTTTAAAAAAAAGGTTTTGTTTTGTTTTGCAGAAAGATGTGCTAGAAAACATAATTGTGCTTGAGTAGCTAGTATCTTCCAGCTGTGTTGGGCCTAAATATTCATTCCCAGCCAGCCTTGGCTGGGAATAATGGGAGTTAAAGCCTAACACATCTGGAGGACACCAGGTTTGAGAAGGGTGTCATCTAAGGTATGATCAGTAGTTCAAAATATGCCAGAATGAGATAAGTTTCCTGCATCAGTCCAAAGGTATGGGCAGTTATATGTGCCTCTAAAAGAGCAAGTTACACCTCTGCTCTGTGAACTGCATTAGTTGCCAGTTTGCTTCCAGGTCCAATTCAAGGTGCTGGTTTTAACCTTTAAAGCCCTTCATGGCATGGGGCTGGGTTATATGAGGGACTGCCTCTCCCCGATTATATTTGTCTGTCCCATCAGATCTGGCAAAGAAGGCATGCTGTGGCTCCTGTCTGTTAGGGAACTGCACTTGGCCGGTTCCAGGAGGCAGGCCTTCTCTGCTGCAGCATCTGCCTTATGGAATCTTCTCCCCCTGAAGGGAGGTTAGCCCCGTCCCTGTTAACGTTATGGAAGTCCCTCAAGACCTGGCTATGTCATCAGGCTTGGGGGTCTCAGGGGACCAGTTTGAGGTGGCTCTCTTACTGCAACTAACATTTATCCTCTCTTGTACCTTGTGCTTTTTAATATTTTTTTTAATCATGATGGTTTTTTATATATTGATTGTTTTTTAATTCAGTGTTGTACACCGCCCAGAGTCACTTTTTGTGAGATGGGCGGCCATATAAATTTGATAATAAATAAATAAATAAGAATTGATACTTAGATAATGGATATAGAACTGAAGACCTAAAACATTTTACAAAGCTTGATCCACACCCCCTTCCTTTCAAACCAAACAATAAAAGGAAGTCATTCTTCATAAATTGTGATATCTGGAATGTACTGTGCTTTAGTGTCAGTCTGACTCTCGGCATCAGCCATTGTTATTTTCACTTAGATCTTTATAATCTTTGTCATTTTCCATGCACCCAGTTTTTTCCAGCAAATCTAATTTGAGGTTTGGGGAAACTGTCATCAGTTACCAGGATTATATTGCTACTATTTTTCACAACATCTGAGGACATTTTTTTTTAAAAATGTGTGTGTCCTTGAGTTTCATCATACTCTATTGCTTGTCCTAGGCTCTGTTGAATTATGAAGTTGCCTGGCATAATTTTGCACTAACAGCCCAACCGTTGACAGTATTGAAGGGGTTGGAACTTCTCAGGGAAGCAAACCTTTGTATAACCCAGTAAAGTGCTAATTTCCTTCCTTCTTAACTATCAGAATTTTCAGTGATTGCATTAATGTTTACTAAGGAGCAAATG